CAAACTTAGCATCAGTGCAGGGGGTGACTCAATGCAAATATACTTACGGGCACTCCCATTAGGCTAACAGATAGCTTGTGTATATTGCAGGAGTCCTGGCAGCATGCAGCCTTGCATGTTTTTGTCTCTCTTAAGACTACTGATGGAGAAAGGTACCTATGCTTGCTGAATGATATCAAAGATGTCCAAATCCTTAAGCACTTTGAAAAGTTTCCCATTAATATGAAAACTTTGTGGTAGAGCTGTAGTGAGGCTGCAAGACAGCACAAGACAGTAATTGACCAAAAACCTCACCAACTACATAGGGAAATGTTATGGAGGCAGAAGGTAATTAGTTGGAATTGGAATCAGGCCAGTACAATCACTGAATTAAGCTACATTTCCAGTGTTATAATAGTTTTCTTTTAAAATTTAAATTACAAGGGGGCTAAAAGATACTCCTTCCAGCTACTGTTATTGAATGGATGGTATGTTCACAATGGCACTCAGCATAAGCAATCAATAATTTATCAGATCTGGTCTTCTAATAAAACACCTATCGAGTGAAATTCTGCTCTGTTTGGGTATGTCTACACTGTGGGACAAGGTCGAATTAAGATAAGCAACTTCAGCTACATTAATGGTGTAGCTGAAGTTAAAGTACCTTCACTTAACTTTTGGCACTGTCTACACTGCAGGAAGTTGAAGGGAGAACACTCTTCCTTCGATTTCCCTTACTCCTCGAGGAAGGAGGATTACTGGCATCGACCGGAGTGCCCTTCTCAGTTCAAATTAGCTGTCTTCACTAGACCTGCTCATTCAAACCCTGGAAGATCTACAGCGGCAGCTTCCCGCTTCTCTGTAGTGTAGATGTACCCTTTGAAGAAAGACACCCACCTCTTTTTATTGTATTTTTGGTGATTTTTTGTGCAGCTTTTCCCATATACAGGATAGTACAGTAATACAGTAAAACCTGTGCTATCTGGAACTTAAGCATCTGGAAAACTGTAGAAACTGGCAAGTTTCTGACGCCGGGAAAAGCAAAAAGGGAAACTAGCCCTTTAAGTGCTGGGCCGCTCCTCGGAGGAGTGTGCACCACATACCTGGGGGGAAGGATGAATGGTGGAGGGAAGCAAGCAGCAAGCATCTCAGCTCCCACCCCCTGTCTCCTGGCACCCTCTGCTGGCCACCTCTGCCATTTCCACCTCCCTGCTTCCCCCCCG